ACAAAACTCCTAAAACAACATAATTGTATATAAGAACAATAACAGAAAAAGAAAGTTAACACTACAATTTTGATGAACAGTCTTGGCCTAGTGAAGCTTATATTAATATGTACCTCCCTCTCACCTTTTCAGAAATTATGGACTATGCTTGTGGAGCATTTCATGTATTATCAGATTCAGTTGATTTGAGTCTTATTTTTAAGAACAAATTCAGCAGCACTTCCCCACCCAAGTCTGCTTCCCATCCCCACTATCTCCACAGAACTGGACAGCGTTAAAAGGATTTGTTAAAAGACCCAATATCTGCATGTTTAGTTCTTCCTATTGGCCCCTTCACTAAGTACAAAAGTATTTAGCTGAATCATTGCCTTAAGCAGAGTTCCTTCAGATGGAAGGAGATTCTGTCCTTGTACAATCCAACTTTGGAATTTTTGCTGTCTTTAATCAAGCTTTTACCTGTTGCTTAGTTCAGGGAAGGGGAAAACTAAAACTAGTCTTTGTTTGAGATGTTGAATTTAACAGAATGTAGATTCTGCTCTTGTGGGGCTGCTTCAGGGACACTCAGCCAATCTTCAGGTTGAGCCACTAATTATGCTATTGCTTCTCCTGCAAAATTAAGGCTATAGGAGAGAAACTGGTATAGACTTGTATGCTGAAGACAAGGTATTTGTCTACAGATTCCAACTGGGTCATTAGAGCAATGGGAATAGAGCCTTGTTTAAAAGTTCTAGGATGAGCACAGAGAGCAAGGCTAAACGATAAGGTAGCTGGGAGTCGTTTCATCAGAAGTGGATGGGGTCTCACTTTAGCTAGAAAGGGTTCTTTAGAGAAGGTGCAGTTACTGTTGTTCTATGACTTTAAATTCACTTTGCTTTTCCCAGTATCTGGAGAGAGCTTCCAGGCAATGCCACAGTGAGTTGTCAAGAAACAGGTCTGTTACTGAACAATGCTGATCATGGACAAAAGAGTCATATTCCACTTACATAATATATGGTACAATGGAAAAAGCATTAGATTTTAAGTCAAAGGATCTCAATTCAAATCCCTGTTCTGTCATTTACTACATAAGTGGCCTTGGACAAATCACTTAATCTCTCTAGATCATAATTTATTCATTTGTAAAATGAAGGAGTTGGTCTAGTTGGCTTTTTTTTTAAGGCAATTGGGGTTAAGTGACTTTCCCAGGGTCACACAGCTAGTAGGCGTTAAGTGTTTGGTCTGAGGCCAGATTTTAATTCAGGTCCTCCTGACTTTAGGGCCAGTGCTCTATCCACTGTGCCACCTAGCTGCCCCTAGATGGCTTCTTAGTGTCCTTTCAGGCTCTTAATTTATGATCCTATGAATTTATCCTCCTGTAGACTAGACTTCTCAACTTCTGTCTCTGTAGGCCTCAGTTAAGAAGAGTTTTATTATGGCTTTCTCTCAGAAGCAGAATTTGTTATTCCTTTCCCTACGTCAAAACCAGGTAGGATTTCCCTCTGACAACCTTTCAATATTTCCTTAGAAAACTCTCTGGGTTTCAGTTTCCTAATCTGTAAATTGAGTGTGAGAATTAGATGATCTCTGTTATCTCTCATAGCTTAAAATTCTATGATTCCTGTAGATTGTAATCTCTTCGAGGGGAGGAACTGTTTCATTTGTGTCTTCATATGCTCTTGGAGAGGTAATATGGTGTGGTGTAATATAGACAGAAAGTCAGACAAGAAGCCAGGATAATGTAATATCACGCCCTGCACATGACATGTGCTGAATTTGTGACCCTGGGCAAGTCACTTAACTTCTCAGTGCTCTAGGCCCTTGTTTCTCAATGTGTGCTCTGGGGGCTTCTGAGGGCCTTTCAGGAGTTCTGAAAGATCCAAACAGTTTCTAAAATAATACAAAGATGTTTTTAATTTCTAATATTGTAACTATTAATAGATAAGATCCACTCAAACAAAAACTCTTGATGGTAGGGGTCCTCAATAATTTTTAAGAGTATTAAGAGATTTTTGAGTCCAAAAGGTTTAGGAACCACTGCTCTAGGAAACTCTCTAAGACTGTAAGTTGCAAAGAAGATACTGATCTCCATTGGTACATGGAGTTTTCTCACCTGGGAATTACATGTCCAGTCCTTTCCCTTTGAATCCCCAGTTCCTAGCACAATGCTTGGCACATAGTAGGCCCTTTAAAATGCTTATTGATTAATCCTATGATTTATCTAAGAACATATAGCTAATAAGTGCAAGAGAATATAGTGTAGAATAAATAGACTTAAGTATAGCATCAGGCAAGTAGATGTATGGCCTTGCTGAATCAGAGTAACATTTAATTTAGTCCAATATTGTGTCTCAGAGAGTGGGAGTAAGGGATGCTCTGGGGGAAAGAAAGGAGATTGATACCTAGGACAAACTTGATTTCTGAGGGCTGTATTCCATATTATTCATCTTCCCTCACAACTCATCATGAATCATCTGTGATGTAGTTAATAACTTCTTAAGCCATTAAAAAACTAAAACTCTGGTAACATTTTGTGCTTTGGTGTCTCTTGAAGAGGAAACAACAAAGCAAAATTCCCAGTGCCCACCATCAATGCCTTGTGGCAAGGCTGGAGCGCCCACCGCTGGGTTTTCGCAGGGCCTGGGGAGTATTTGCTGCAAAGAGGCAGGAGGCTAAGTCTTCAAGCTGGGAGGCTGTGTGCAAGAAAAAATGTTTGGCGTCTTTATTGAGATGAATTGTGAATCTTCCATTCTAATTTTTGTCCACAGTTGAAAGCAATTTTACTAGAAAATAAGGATCTTTCCCAGGATATTGCCAGTACCATATGAAATAAGTAAAATTAATCCCTGTGTAAGTGCAGTTCACATTGGTATTCTCACCTTTCTGGATCATCAGGGACGAAAGACTCTGCTCCACCTTCTTCTATCGACCACCCATCCCTACTCCGAAAGAGAACATCAGACACAAGACCTTGGATACCAGCTCATCATTCTCCAGGTTTACTCTTTTTTTGAAAATCTCCTCACAGTCACCAAAGAAAAGCCCAGAAGATCCAGATTGCAGCAATGTCCCAACTCTTTAACCCTTGAAAGAATATCTCCTCAGCTACTTCAGTTCCCAGAAACCCCCAAGTCAGCCCCTTTGAAGCTAGACAATCATAGATGAAGCTCTCCACAGCTTCTTCATCATCCTTCCCTCTCGAGTTTGCTGATGCTGTGAGCTGCACACCAGAGATTCCCATCTCCTTTAGCCAGCACTGTGTTCTGTTGTTTCTTCTTCTGATCGAAACAAACAAACAAAAAACAAGATGAGGCTCTTAGTCCAATAAGTGACAAGCACCAAACTTCCTATTAACGCACTCATTGAGATCTCAAGAGTGAATTTTTCTGTTTGGGTCTAAAAGGGAAAAGGTAAAAAAAAAAAAGCATGGCCATTTTTTGGCAGATAAAAAATTAATGAGAAAACATATCATACAGTTTTATCTTATCCTGTCTCAGAGGTAAAGTTCTCATGACTTTTTGTCTCCCTTCAGTAGCACTGAGGCAGCCTAGATCAGTGGATAAAATGCTAAGTCTGGAGCCAAGAAGATCTAGATTCATATTATGAATCTGGCACACCAGCTCTGACCTGGGGCAAGTCAAGTGACTTTACCTCTTTGTGCCCTGGGCTACTTCCCAGGATGTGTGTGTATACACTTGTACATATATGCAGATAAATGTATGCACGTAGATATATACATACATGTATTTATACATACAGTTAATAGCATTCTATATGATCTGTGTAAAATATGTAGTATTAATAGGTATAAATCCAAACATATATTCACATATACATATATACACATGATATATCACTGTTTAGTGTGCATGTTTATATGTGTAGATGTAAGTATAATATATAACATGATTATATAAAATATGTAGTATTTATACATTTATATAAACTGTATCTCATGTATTCACATACATAATGTACATATATACACATACATACACATACACATACATAGTGTACATTCATGTTCCCACTTTATCTTGTGCGTATGTATATGTGTATGCGTATATAATATATAATGTGATATATAAAATTTGTAGTGTTAGTAGGTTCAAATGCAAACATACCTACAAGTATACACATACATATTCTCTCTTATAATACATGGTGGAGACTAGACATGAATTAGGAAGCGATTAGATAACAATGCCCCTGAAACATATAAGAGGTTCAAGCTATGATTTGGAAAATGAATTACAAACCCATGTTGAACCAGAAGAATCACAAGACTCTGGAGCAAGAGCTCCTGGAGAAGAGGAGGGTGGGGGAAGAAGGATAGTACAGGGGCTCAGTGTTACACACGCATACTTCCAATCCTATAGCATACATTCCTTCAAGGAAAGCTCTTCATTTTGAGAGGAGTAGATTCTGGGAACATCTTTGCATTGGTCATATAAGGATGTACCCCCCCACCCCATCCCCAAGAGAGAATGTGAAAAGATGGAAATGAACACTTTTTTGGAAGAAGGAATGGGTGAATGCAATCCAGGATAGAATAAAGAGTAACAGTGAATATCAAAAATAGCAATCAGACAATGCCTTAGGAGACTCATGTGTGAAAAAAATGGGGCACAGAAAGCTACCCCGAAACTGAGGTTATATTCAATAATTTAACACTGGCGGTGGGACTCCAAGGCATGACAACTGCCTCAATTCTTACCCCTCAGTGTAAGCCAAGTTGAACTATTAAGGAGTGTGCTGTTCCCCTTCATACTGCCTTGTCTCTGTGCCACAACTTTATAGAACAGTGATGAAAGAACCAAACATCCAGTGTCTGATTGATTGATTGAGTTCTGAGCTATAGCCAAGCTAAGAGGGAGGAAATATATATATATAATATAAATATAATAAATATAATATACCTATATACACACACATATATATATACATACACACATACACACATGTATACATACACACACATATGTATATATATGTGTGTGTGTGTGTGTGTGTATACACCTGTGTATGTGTAATTGTAGGTGTAGATGTATATAAGCTCCTAATATGAACCAGAAAGGATGAACCTAAAATAACCACTCTTGGGATGTCATCAGGTGCAACCCTGGTCAGGTTGGTGGCCTGAGTTCCAGATGCAGGGTTTGTGCACAGGCTGCAGGTGCCTGGGGATCACTGTGCCTCCACATCACAGAGGTAGGTGCCTGAGTCTCCAGGCTGAGAGGCTATGATGTACAGGGTGCTGAGACGCTCCTTTCTGTTGATTGTGGATCTTAACCTTCCTCTCTTCTTCTCCTCAGAAGTCATGTAAAATAGGGAGGTGAGGTCTTTCCCATGATCCTGCTTGAACCACTGAAGCCCTCGGGAAGCACTATCTGAGTAACTGCAGTTGAAAGCAGTGCTCTCTCCCTCCTGGACCTTCAAGGACTGAGGACTCTGCTCCACCATCTGTTTGCTGCTTACCCCTGTGCAGAAATAGAATGCCAGATGTGGGAAGGTGGTCAATTATACTATTCCTTTTATTTCTGTGACATGTCAAGTAAATCCTAAGTGAACCAGACTTTGTCTTCCCCCTCAGCCTTGTGTTTCCTGAGACCTCCATTCCTATTTGTTGTTTCCTGAGGCTCCTGGTTCCCATCTCCTCCAACTCACAGCTCCATTGAAGACATAAGATCATGAATAAGGCTCCCACTAACTTCTCCATTCTTTCTCCAACTAACATCAGTGAACCTTCAGTGCTAGGGTCAATAATCAGGACTAAGATACTATAGTTGAGGGAAACTTTGTGAATTCTAAATGTTTCTAGCTCTTCTTCTCTTCCAGGAAATAAAAGGCATCCTCAAGCAGCTAAACAGCCAATCAGAGATGTGAGTCCGTCACCTTATGTACACTTCATGAAGTCTCATTTACAGCTGAGGGCATTTCTATCTAGGGCAATACTGCCCTCCCTGGTCTAAATACTGAACTGCTGTGGCCATGAGAAAACAGCCAGTATGGATTTCCCAAATAACTTTGGGGACAAAGAGATCCTTTCATCACTCTTCTTTCATTCAAAAAAATAAACATTTATTAAATATAAACTATTACAAGTATTATGCCAGGCAGCAAGATAAAAAGATGAAAAATGACATTGTCTCTTCCCTTACTCAACTCTTTAAGATTTGCAAAGCACTTTTCACATAATTATCTCATTTATGCCTCACAACAATGTTAGGAAATAGGTAAGAAAGACCTCATTATCCTCATGGATGATAAAACAAACTAAGAGAAGTGATTTGCCCATGGTCACACAACCAGAAAGTATCAGAGGCAAGAACTGAACCTGGGTCTTTCTGAAATCTATCCACTATACTTTGCTACTTCTCAGCTTACTCTAGTAGGTTGGTTATTTGGATGACAAACAAACATATATGGTATAAAGTATAATATGAGAACAGCCATTAGAAACAGGTCAATGGCCGTGGTCAGTTTTAAGAAGGAATGATCACTTTTAGCTATGTGGGAGGAAGGAGTTCAGAAAGAAGACTTAATAGAGATGTTGGGCTCTGAAAGAAGGGATGTCCTGCTTAGAAGTTAAACAGAAGAGGGATTCCCAAAAGAGGGTAAGGTTCTCCAGATGCTCCATTTTGCTGCTAACTTTATACCAATTACATCAAGCTCTAAAACACTACAGAGTCTATCTACTGAGAACAATAATTACTCAAAAGAGTTTGGCCTAACTATCCACAAAGGAAAAACCAAGTGAACGAAGAATGACTATTTTTCAGACTATGAGATGGAGTTGTCTGAACTGCCCATAGAAATGGCCCATCACTGCATATATCTTGACTAGACATACACTGAGTCCAGAATCAAACAGGAACAGGAGAGCAGGACAGATTGCATTTGGGGAATTAGATAGAACTTTTAATTATCTTGAGCTTCCTAAAAACAAAGCTCTATCTTTTTAACAGTAATATTCTTCCAGAGTTGTTATATGGCTACAAAGTATCCAAAACTTCAAAGAATTAAGTTGTAGGCCAGCCAAGGGCAATGAAGAGTCACATGGTGAGAATGAATAGGTCGTATCACATTACCAATGAGAATTATATGAGAAGCTTTATAAAGGCATAACGGACATTAAGAGAGAAATGGATGACAAAAAAAAAAAAAGAAAAGAGGTGAATCAATCACATAAGACAGTAGTCTATGAACTTTTTGATCATTCACCCCATCAGTAAAAAGGTTTTGCCACATGCCTCAAATATATGTCTATTTCCTTACATACAAATTATGTATGTGACCATGCTTCCAACAAAGCCTGGGATGTTTTGCCTGCTAATAGGTTTGCAAAATGAAACATGATTTCTAACTGGTCAAGAAAATGATCATTTGCATCCTTTCACTCCACCATCTCTCCAGATCTCCCCTTTTCCATTACTCTTTCCATTACAACATACTGCCTTTAAATATATCATGGCAATAATCCTAATTTTTTTCTTGAGGTTAGTATTTGATTTACGATTTCTCTCACTACCCTCTCCCTTGCAATTAGCTTCAAGAATTTTAGGATTTATTCTGCAAACCCCTCTAGCAAACTGCCTTCTCAATTCTTCAACCTTCTTAACCCCAACAACCTCCTTCTTCACTTCATTGCAACCATCAAAACATGGTCCCACCTTAGAACTTAGCATATCAAGTAACTAAATCACCTCCAAGATCCAGAACTCTAAAACTCTGCAATCACATACATTCTCTTGCATTCAACTGACCCTTCATCTTTATTGTGATCTGTTATCCTCTGTACTCTATTGATTCTCCTAGTCCATTAGACATAGTCTCCCTATGATTATCTCCAATCTAAGTTTTGATCTCATGGATTGACATTTTAATGTCACAATAGCTGCTACCCTAGAATCCCTTGCCTACAATCCTAGTCTATGACACTTTGTACTTCCCCTAATCCCAACCCAAACCAAACTGATTTCTCCAAATCTGCCATAGGACTACTGAAGGAAAAAAAATCATGGAATTGATTTGATTTCACTCACTTCAAATTAATGATAAATGATCCTACCTGTACTTTCACTGAAATACACACACACACACACACACACACACACACACACACACACACACAATCCCACAATCCTCTACTCATTTCCCATATTGGCTCTTTTAAAATAATTCAACTCACCTTTGACCAACAGTCGTATACTTCTAACCTACAGCAAATAGCCTAGGCTCCTATTTTCTGAGAATCGGGTCTTCTGACATAAAATTCCTAAATCCTTTTCCTTCATTCCCCAAAGCTCAAAATCATCATTTTTATCTCCTCTCCTACTTTCTTCTGGCCAAGAAGAATTCTCTTTCCCCCTTTAACTAATCTCTCTATGTAAATCTTTGATACCAGTACCTTCCATCTCCTCCAGAGCATTATTCTAGCAGTCATTCTCTCTCTGTATCTCTATCTCTCTATCTGTCTGTCTTTCTCTCCCTTTCTCACTCTCTCTCTCTGTCCTTCTCCCTCTCCCCTTACTCTCTATCTCTATCTCTGTCTTTCTCTCACCTCTCTCTCATCTCTATTTCTCTGTCTTTGTCTATCACTCTGTCTGTCTATCTGTTACTCTCTCATACTCAGTCTTAATCTTATCACTAGCTCTTTCCCATTTAACTACAACTATACTCAGTCTTCCCTAAATCTAAAACCTTCCTTTGGCCTTTGTACCCACATTTCACTACAATCCTACTTCTTTCTTCTCTTTCACTGCCTAAATTCTTAACTTTGCTTGGTGATCATTGGGATGGGAAATATAAGTAGGCCTTCAAGGATTTAGTCAACTTGTTCACAGATGCCCCAATATTGACTTTTGCAGATCCAAGTAAGCCCTTAATTTGCACACAAACGCTAGTCTAATATACTTTGGAACAATTTTGCACTAAGAAAATTATAGCCACCAAAAGTCCACTGCATTTGTCGTTAAAAGACTCACTGAGAATGAGATTCAGTATCACAAATTAGAGTTCTTGACTTTAAAGTGGGCTGACACTGAGAAGTTGTAAGAGTTCAATTTCAAGGATCGACAGAAAACAATCTGCTGACTCTTCAATAACTTGGACTTGGAAGAGAATTCTTAGCTAAACAAGAGAGGATGATCATAGAAGATCATAGAAGATAATTCAGAAGATAATTTAAAAAGCCTCTGTAAACACAAAACAAACTCAACTATTATTAGGAAAAAAAGCCATTAATTAGGGGAAAATATCTTTGTGACAATTTTTTCTGATAGATACATAAAATACAAGATACATAAGTAATTAAAACAAATAAAGTTGAAAAATAGTCATTCCCCAGTAGATAAGTGGTCAATGGATATGAGCAAGAGTCCTCAAATGAAGAAATGAGAGCTATCCATAACCATCTAAGAACCCTCCAAATCAAATAATAAGAGAAACAAAAATCAAACCAGCCATGAAGTATCATCTTACACTCAACAAACTGGCAAAGAAATCAAAAGATGGGGTTAATCAATGATGGATGGATTGTGGAAACGTTAATGTATTATTCATGGAGCTATGAATTGTTACAACTATTCTGAAAAGTGATTTAGAATTATGCAAAAAGAGTGACTAGAACATCCATATCCCTTGACCCAGAGATTCCACTGCTAGAGACATACTCCAAGAATATCAGTGGCAAAAAAAAAGGCCCCCTCTATGCCAAAATATTTTCAGCAGCACTGTTTAATACAAGAACTGAAAATAAAGCTGATGCCTATTGATAGGTAAATGGCTAAACAAATTGTTGTACATGAACATAATAGAATATTACCACATTATAAGAGATAATGAATACTGAGAAGTATGGAAAGATTTACACAAGTTGATGTGAAGCAAAGTAGAATCAAAAACACAAAATGCAGATACTACAACAATATAAATGGGAATAACAATAAAAACAATGACAATAACAACAAAACAATCAAAACTGAATGGCATGAAATTATAATGACCAAGCATGGCCTGAAGAAAACAAGTACAAGAAGATAACTTTCCACTATTTCTTTGCAGATAGAGGGAACTATTAGTATGGAATGCTACATATAACATCAGACTTTTTTTGGTATATTGGTTAGTTTTGCTGACTTTTTATACATTTTCGCCCTCATTATAAGGAAAGGCCTTCTAGAAATAGGAAGAGTAAGATGCATTGAGAATTGCAGGTACTGTGAAAAACAAAGATGTTTAAAACTATTTTTTAAATAAATTTACTTTTTTCTATTTTAATTTTTAAATTCTCTCCTTCCCTCTTGCCCCTTTTCTACCCATTGAGAAGGCAAGAAATATATCAAATATACATGTGAAATTGTGTCCAAAAAAATTTTCATATTAGCTATGGGGGGGGGAAGACAAGATAAAGTGAAGAAAAAATAATGCTTCAATCTGCACTCAGACTCCATCAGTTCTCTTTCTGGAGATGGATAGC